ATTACAGGAAGAATTGCCTGAGCTAGAAAGGGAGCAAGCATCCATTGACGATTGGGGGTGTCACTCATCTCTGTTCTGTAACTAAGGGGAAAGTTATGTTCATCTATCAAACTTTAAGCAGAATCTAGGAAAGGGGGGGCTCTGCTGGTCTGAGCAACTTTTCCTGAGAAGACAACTCCTACTTTCAACGGCCCCAGCCCCCTCCCCAAAGACCAGCCCCAAATGGTTTCTTAAAGTAGACAAAGTAGCTCATTCCACAAAAGGTAGAGCCAACTGTCCTGGTTGGCTAGTGCACAGCCCCCCACCAAACAGCAGAACGTAGGACCGGTGGGGCAGACTTGCAGGGCCTAAGCCACGGAAAGTGCCTGAGAGCAGGTAATGGCATCCTTCTCACTGGGCAGGAAAGGTCAGGGCAGGATCCTCAAATTGAGGGGATGCACTGAACACGACCAGGGCCACAGGAAGACACCTTCAGGAAGGGTCGATTGGAAAGGGCCCTGAAAGGGGGTGATAATCCCCCAAAGCCCAGTAGCTCTCCTGGAGGCCACTCTACTTTGGAGGCTGAGCAGGGCAGGGCCTGGGGGCCAGTGCTGCCTGGACCACCCTCGTCTGGCCAGTCTGGGCCGGAGGGTGTGACCCAGGAGGAGGGACCAGTGCTGCAGATACGCATCCTTCCTCTCTCATTGCTTTTCCTTTTCTGGAATTTGCTTTTCTTTTAGCTTCCTGGTAAAATGCCTTTGAAAAACATTCCAACCCTGTTGCTAGACCAAAGGAGAAAAGGGGATCTGTGCACACTTAGAACAGACCAGCAGCAGAGGTCGGAGCCTGGGCACGAAGGGCAGTGGCAACCCCAAGAGCCCTCAAGGTTCCTGAGCCAGGGGAGAGCTACCGAGAAGGAAACAGACCTCAGCTCACCAGTGAGTGGCACTGGCTGTGAGTGAGAGGGTGATAGGGAGCATGGCATTCATGGCCAACATTTTTTAAATTCTGTGCCAGCCAAACCAATCACATCTGGGCCAAACCAATCACATCTGGGCCTAACCTGGCCAGGAGGTGCTGTTTGCACCTCTGTGAGGAGGGAGGCACAGGGGTTGAAAAGCCTGTTTCTCCTTCTTGACCAGGGTTCCCCCATCACTGCCTCCTTTCTTTGAGTTTTAAAAATTATTACCAGGGCATATTTCCTTGCAAGAGAGAAGATACACCCCAGAGGGGGCACTAAGGGAGGGCCCAGCTGTTCTCCGAGGACAGGATAAGCTTCTCGTGGTTATTTGGAAGGTCCCTCTGGCTGTAACTGGGGGGACAGTTCAGCTCCCTTGGGGGCAGGACAGGTCGAGTCTCTTAGACCTGTCCACACTGAGTTTTGACGGAGAAGTCCAAATGGAAGTGCACTGACATACACCCCCTGGCAGCGCCCTTTCTTCCTCCCACCCTGCACAAAGCCAGACGAATGGCCCAGGACTCTGATCAGACTCTTTACTGTCTTTTTTACAAATGGGTCTCAGGCAGGAAGAGATGGAAACGAAGAGCCGTCTCTCCGGCTCCTAAGCCAGTTCCTCAGGGAACCCCGCCATCACTGCTGGGAGGGAGGGAGAGACCCCTTCCTGCTCCTCTTTGCACCCCCTCATTTACCAGGGGAGGGGCTGCCATCCAGGCTCCTGGCCCAGGGATAAGCCTTTCCCCATGGAACTGCTGATGTTCTCATCAAGGGTTATCTTGGTTCCTAGAGAGAGAGAGACAGGCAGACAGACAGGCTGGTTGGCAAGGCCTGGGCCAGAGCAAACAGGCCACGGGAAGGGATGTGCCTCTGCTCACCAGCTCTCCTGACCCGCCTCTATGGGAGCCCAGCCTCCTCTGCAATGTGTCACCTTGCCTTCAGCCCTTGCCACTGTTTCCAGGATTCCTCCTGCCACCGCACTCACTGGGCCCCCTCCTTCCCACACTTCCCCTGCAGGCCCTTCTCTGTCTCCCTCTATCCAGTGACGCCTGTCCCACCCTCCCTAGTTCCCCACTCTCAGTTACCTGATCCCTCGCCCCCGCCCCCAGCTCTCGGCATTTCCGTCCTGGCCTTTGGCTCTGGCTCCGGCTTCGGCTGCGGCTGCGGCTCCGTCCGGGGCCCCGGGAGCCCCGAGAGCTGCTGGAGCCTCGGGAAGAGTTGCTGCCAGCGGTGGAACAGGTGCTGGTGGCCTGGCCCCGGGACAGGAAGCTTGGTCGGCTGTAAGGGAGCCAGGCCTCTTCTGCTGCACGAGAGATAAGGGTAGCTGGGCCTGGGCAGCGGGCAGAACCCACTGTGCCACCCCAACCACCACCCCAGCTCTAGGAGGAGAGCTGAGGGCAGGCAAGGGCTGAGAAGCAGAGTGCCCAGCATATGGCCTGGACATACTCGTGTTCAAGAGCCTGCAGAGAACCCCCTCCTTGGGCAAAGAGGCACAGAACACCAGCCCCTATTCTCTCATTGAGGCTGTAGACCTGAGAATGGATACAACTTGAGAACCTCGGGGAATCTGGCTCAGAGACAGCTGGAGAGACAAGCGTCTCTGATGTTGCTCAAATGCATGAACCTAACCGAAAGTGAGGGGTGAGCTGGGCTGAAATTCACCCATCGATGGTGCCATCTGGACTGTACCATCGGCCTGCAGTCCTAAAGCCCACCTCCTGTATAGCAGTGGCCCTCCAGCCTGCCCTGGCTTCCTTACCATCCGGGAGGGGGCCCCGAGAGGCCCCGAGGGGCACCCCCTGCGCCATTCTTCTCTCCCCACTGTGCTTCCGGTCCAAGGAGGACATGCTGCCTGCTGCTCCCAGCCCTAAGGCCCAGCTTGTCTCTTCCTCTGGTGGCGGCAAGGGTGGTGGGGGCAAGTCTGGGGAGAGACCTGTTTCAGCAGAGTGCCCCGCTCCCCTGATCCCAGTCTCTCCCACTCCCATGCCCTGGCACGGGGAGGCTGCGAGTGAACAGGCCAAGATCTGCCCACCTCCAGCCTTCAGAGCTCGCCCTTGGTTTCCTGCCCGTCTCCACTACTGACTGTCACCAGCCCCAGGCCCACAGCCCCCTCACCCCC